AAAAACTATTATTCACTAATTCGGGGAACAACAACAATTTCCCCTTACCCTTCTTTCTGTCTCTCCTGTCGTAGCCTCCTACGCACTAGCTCGCCCGATGTCAAATGGTTCTGACTGCCTACGTGACCTGACTTAACCATAAGGGGAGGCAGTTCGACTCCCATGTCGAGGACGATGATCGCACAGGCGCCCTGACGATAGTGATGGAGACCAACAGGCAGTGAGCAACCAACTTCAACGAAGACCGCCACGAAAACGGGCAAAAAAAAAATGACACCAGATTTGACGGGTGACGAGCGGCCCTCGGATGAAGACTCTCATCACGAACATGTTAGAGAAGCGGTAACTAACAGACGACACGCCTATATGGCACCTCTTTTCTACTGAATAATCGTACAAAAATGATTACGAGTCTTCCGTAAGAATGCGGAAAAATGTATCGCCAGTAGTTGTGCTCTCCTCTGTGCTCGCTGCCCCGCTCATCATGTACATTTTTCTTGTCCTTCCTCCTCTCGGTCTCTCTCTTCCCTTCTCTCACGCCCGTCCTCGTTGTGTTGCCTTTTTACATTTTAATTTACTTTATCCCCTTAGCACCCTCCCGCGTCCAGATTCATTCCTCGAGCAGTTCCGATGTCCCTCGCAAATAGGTAAGTTTCCTACCCCGCAGTTGCCTTCATGCTACTTCTATTGATAGCGGGAGCAGAATTGGGGTGAATCTTCCGCCAGATCTCGTGCTAATACACCTGCTGAAGGCGCAACACCAGGATGTCGATAACTAGCAGGATTCCGCAAGAGTACCGGACTCAGATGTTGGACGACTACCTCCGCCTTCGCGATTCAAGTTACCTCCCACAGCGCCTAGATATCGACCTGGGTGACGAATTGGATGACGAACTGGATGGTTCAAGGGCGGTCGGTACTTCACTATTCACCAGATCACGCAAACATGGGCGAGGGTCTTCCACTAGCGTTTGCGCCGGTAGGTCTCTCACAGAGGCTGATCGCCAGTCTTTGTGCTGAGCCGTGAGGAAACGATGATCGCAATGGCGGTAGTTGTTGTGGCATTCAACACCGTGAAGATGGCGTCAACAAGATTTCGGATGGCGGTTGTCGGCCACCCGGTAGGTGCTGCTTATGATGACGACGACCCCTGTCGAGATCGCGATGGCGGTCTGACCACGATCAGAATGTGGCGACACTGCTGGTAGCAACGAACATAACCACGGGCTTGCCCCGCTACTCTTGCCGACGAGTGGGGACCCGATCACTACCACGAGTAAGACTGCCGGCGCCGAGGTACTGATGGAAAAACGTGACGAAGACGACGGTGACCTTAGTCTTGGCGTGGTAATGAGGACGAATACCTCGATCTTGCTCAGGATGATGAGGACCGCTACTCCTGCATTGATGTAGGTTTCGATGACGACCGTAAGGAGTTGTTAACTGCCGACATCATTCTGCTCCCGTCACAGATAAGCGCGTCAACCTTCTCTTTCTAGTACTACCAGTACCGTACGAGCCGTTGTGCTCAATAGCAGTGTTCGCGTCCGCCCGTACACCTTTCGGGCGCGCCCAGGATAATAATGCATCTTTCCTTAGAACACGGAGAGATACATGTGACTCGCCCTGCTAGCTTGGCGCCTACCTCTTCCGCTATGATATGTACTCCTTGATTGTTGAACCCGGCTCCGACCTCAGCCAGGTACGTGCCCCTCCTTGCGCTCCTTTCACGATCTCTCTCTTTCCTCCAGCTCCCTGACCTCTCTCCTTCATCTTCGTCACAATCCCAGCTTTACTTTCTTCTGTCGGCGCCAACCACTTTACCCGCAGTGTAAGCCTTCGATGAAATCGGTCAAATGGCGTAGCGCTGACACATCGTCGTACCAACGTGCACAAATAACCAAGGAAAAGTCGGGGCTCTTACTGCTTTATACATGTCAACCTCGCACAGGGGCCATGCTAATCTTCCCTGTATCGTTCCAATTTTAATGGATGTCCCGAAGGACTATATCGTGTCACGGCCTTGATGTGTTGCCGCGGGACCAACCGGGCTCAGGCAGTTCAGAAATATATTTGGTTTTACTCATCAAGTTCCATAATCTGGATTCGAACATAGGTCTGTATTTCAACAGTTCGTGGGTGTACCTACTGAGCAAGGCTTGTTGGTTCACGACAGGTCCTGAGACCGGTACCGGACCACGTCCCATAATGGGACTTAAATAATAAATAAGAAGAATGAAAATAAAATAATAAAAACTTAGAAAAATTGGGAGAAAGCGGAGTAAGGGACGAGGACCATTGGTACTTAGTCCTCGGTCCTACCTCGCGGGCCCGCGGTCGGACCCCCCCCCCACAAAACTAAGGGGGATAGTCCCGCGGGACCCTCAACCCCTCAGTTACCTCCATAAGACGCTCCTCCGCTCCTTCACCGTCGGTTGCTGGCTTCGATCCTGGGATCCGTAGGTTGAAAGTCTAGTGTTGTAACCAATAGGGCTAAGCCCAAGCCTGAACTCGGTGCGCGCCGACCCGTATATGAATGGTAGCTGCAGCCGGCCTGGGCCTATAGCAGCAAGGCTAAGGCTACTGCTCGATCTCCCATTCAAACCCACGGCCCCGTACGCATACTCATGCCACTAGGGGCTCGAATTTCGCTCGGCACGCCACACTTGTAGCCCCCACAATGCTTAGACAAAATCCTCCTCTAGTTGCAGTCTTACCTAGTCAATTCTGCGTTGCCCGTAACTTCGTCCGTGTGTGCGAGGTTGCGACTTTATCAAAGATTTTATCCTAGCACTTACTTATTCTACCGGCGTCTCATAGCTTACATTGATCTAATATTTGGTCAAGCTAACGTGCCCACAAAGTGCACGCTCACACACTCTTCAATCAACTCAGAGCATATGTCACTCCCAATCCCTGAGAATTGGTCGTGGTCACACAGAAATGGGACACGCCCTCAGATATCGTCAAGGAGCGTACTTCCTGCAAGCTGCAAAAACACGCCCAATTACCCTTGTAAGGGTAATCGGGCCGACAGTTTTCCGGACGTTATTAAGCGACGTCCCCATCGCGTTGGATAATTAAAATTATAAACACAACCACATCTGCTGACGAGGAAGTAACCAATCCGATTAGCTGGCTCGACTCCGTTCGAGGTATTCTTATTAATCCGCTCCCGTCACGGTGTTCCACTGCCAGGATTTCAACTTGGGTCTCCCACGTCCTGGCCTCGGAGTTAGGGGATACTTTGTTCCGTACTGCAGTATCATACCCGCTCCCAGGTGGTAGGTTGATAGTCCTCTCCCTTTGTCGTAGAAATCTGCCGGTTCACTGTTGGGTGTCTTGTTTAGTCATCGTCTCCCGTACAGGGTCATAACTTAGGACGCGGGCCCTAACCAAGACCTCTTTCAATTATGGGGCACCTTTAGTCCCGAAATGGTAATGCTTACCATCTGAAATATCCAATCATAATGAACGTCCATCCTGGAGTCTAACACAGGTGGTTTCAGGTCTCCATCTTGGCCCACCGCAGAACGGTCGATCATGCCGAATCCACGACTCACCACGTTGTTATATAGCGATGGCGCCCTCGTTGGTTGCGCAACGATAAGCAGTTCTTCCTATCTTGGCACCCCAAAGGGTCTCGATCCTTGACTTAATCGACCCCAATGACTTTCCCTCTAGCTCAACCTCTCCGGGCGGCCGACCCTTCAAGACTTAACCTTTGGTGAGTCATGGTCCCACTGCCAGGTTGTGCCGGTGAGCGGCCCTCGCTGGGAGTTAGGTTCTACAGTTTCAGCGATGCTGAGTATAGCCCCTTAGCTTGGCCTCACAAAATACGTCCCTTAGACTAACTTCATTGTGGTTTGGCACTTTCTTTAAAAAAAAACCTTCAGAACAACCAAAGAATCACATACCAACTGCCTACGGGACTACGTGGCGGGATAGTGCCTTCTTCAACATTGCACCAATTTCCTCAATAAATTCACAAGGTCGTGCCCCCCTTACTTTAATCAGAGTAGGTAAGGTCACACGTCTTTAGGAACATCTCTCCAAATGTCTCTCAGAATTCCATCATAATTGCCAAAAATTTCCATCCATAATTCTCACAAAATTTTTGGTCTTTCCTCGTCAGACTTGCATACACAGAAAAATATAGCACCTCCTTTGAGTGCTCTCACAAATTTCATGACTTTAAGAAAGTCCAATTGGTCATTGGGCTTTCTTCTCTCTTTTCTAAGTCATATAGAAGACACAACTTTGGTTGTGACCTTTCCATTCATCATCACTTTACCTTTGCAAATTGCATCATATCATCTTGTTCTCAAAAAACCCGAGGTGCACTCTCTTTTACTATACTCAGGACTTCATCTGGCAATGAGACAGGTATGCGCAAGTACTGTGAAAGACTGTGCAGATCAGTTCATTTCACAATATTCATTTCATCACATCATCATTCATATGGGCAAGTCCACAACTGAGAGTGAGTGTGACATATCACGCAAACAAAGAAAAGAACAAGATTTGAGACTCGCATATGTACACAGGATGTGGGTCTTGCAATAAGCAAAGACTCATGCCGTTATCGAAAGGTCAAGGTATCGTACAAGGAGTCCAAGTAGCCACACAGATTTACAGTATCAACAAAGAATCAAGCATCCAAGTGTCAAAGTATCCGAAATCGACAGTCACTTCATACCTAATGTCACTCGTACATGAATGTCACTCTACTCTAGATGGGAAAGAAATCACAACTTACACAAAAGCATTATTTAAAATCACTCCACACCACACTAAAAAAAAAAAGTCAAAATCATACTCAGTGTTATCCTATGTACAACCAACCTAAAAGTCTATAATGCGAAAGTAAACATCTCATTACTGACTCAACTTACTGACGTACATGGGTCTGATCCAATCCTCCATGTATCCCTCTATATACAAACAACCATCAGTCCGAGAGTCAGAGATGTCCTGCATATACTAGACCTAGACTTTTCCGGACCTTATTAGCAAGCCCTACTCCTGATCACTCATGACCTCCTACAGCTGCCTATACAACTGCGTCCTCACCCCATCACGAGTCTTAGGAACCAGGATTCCATTCCTATCTCTCCACACTCCATATGACTCTCTGGCGGCCAAACTATTTGCCTCATCTTTTAGGCTCTTGGGGCAGTCGTCAGATCGGTGTTTTCCCTTCTTGCAGTAAAAGCATTTGTCAATCTTCTTTTGGGACATCTTGTCTCCTTCCTGCGAGGGTACAGATGACGGGACTGCTGTAACCTTACTTGTGACCTCCTGTTGTGGAACCTTTGAGGAAGTGGGACATGTTACTCTGTCATCTGTTTGCATCACCTGCTCGCCGACACGTCCCTCTGGCCTTGAACCAGTGGCACAAGACCCTAAAGCATCCCGCAGATCTATAACAAGAGGCATATCCTGAGGTATGGCGGATTCCCGACACTTCTTCAGATCCCTTCTCAACTCAGCCTCAACCGTGGTCTGACCCACACTCTCCTGAGCCTCCTGTTGTCCCACAGTCTCTCTCTGAGTTGTAGGTGGAACTTCTTCAATCCTTATGGCCTCAGCTGGTGGCCTCTCCTCTGGCTTTGTTGGCTCCTGTCCAAGTATCATACTAGTCGGCATTCTCCACTCAAACTCTTCAACCTCTGAGTCATTTTCAGCTAGTGCCTCTTGTGACTCCAACATCTCCTTATCTATCAAGGGAATCTCTCCACCTTCCTGCTGGTCCACCTTCTCTTCTTCCTTCTGGCATTTGAAGGCATTTTTCGCAGGCTGTCCCCTTATCTCAAACCCCTGGGCCTTTGTCCAATCTACCACTACAGTTGGAGTCTGCTGTGCACGCCTGGTCTCAAGGTCTTGTATCCTCTTTTCCCACTCAGCTTCCTTTGTTTGGAAGGAAACCTGTTGCGCCTGTAAGTATGCCCTTAAGACGTCATTGACTTTATTGAGGGTCTGATTGACCTGCCTGATGGCCTCGTTCTCGGCCCAGATTTCCACCATGTCTACCTTCACTGCCTCCACTTCCTTACTCTGCCTTTCCACCTCCTTCGTCAAATTTTCAACTTCTCTTTCCCAATCCACCCTCTGGCCATATACTTTTTCAGCCACCTTTGTCAATCTTTCCCCAGCCTTCTGATCCGAGGCCTTGGCTGCTGCAAAGTCTTTCTTCATAAGGCCCTTTAGGTTAAGTAAGTCTGTAGAGACTAACTTAACCCCCATCTCCTAATGATACTCTCCTGACCTTCCTGCAACCTCCATCAGCTTGTCAAAGTTGACCCAAACCTTTGAAAATAAGGGAAGGTCCTCCTCCCGATTACAAACGCCCTTACTACTTTTGTCCTTCACCTCCTCAGGTTGCTCTCCCTGTTGCACCTTCTCATTCAGATCTGCCAAGTTCTTCAACCTGAGTTGGACTCTAATCTCTTTTTCTCTCGCTACTCTCTCAATCATGTCCAGCTCCCTTTCCTTGGCAGTCTGGTCCTCCTCTTGCACCTGCCTCTTCGGCTCATGAGGCACGTCTGGCTCCATGTCTGGCATAGGGCGGTTCATATCTATCCGAGTATGTTGTGGAGGCACACCTGGACCACCTGACCCTCCTGCGCTCTCGTGCCTGTGGGCTTTGTACTCCTTTCTCCTGTCCCCCCTCTGAGTTCCTGAAGACATGCCCTGCTCAAAGGTCCTCCTCTCAGTTGCCTTTGGCTCCCTCCTTCTCTTCTCCAGACTCTCTCTCTCTCCTGCTTGATGGACTCGAGTATAGTGGTTCCAAAGCAGCTTTTTGCAGTGCCCCTAGTTTGTAGCAGGTGCCACAATAGATCTGACAAAGGATCTGATGTGCCGCCTTACGTACAGAAGGAAGTTCCCCATCTTTTTCTCCCCGAAAACATTGAGGTCATCTGTATATCGATCATAAGCTCATAGGAACTCCCCCAGATTAGTGGAGTCAAAACGAATGGGTTGTCCATCTCTCCCTACCGGCGATGGGTGCAAGCCCTCCATCCTTCTCTCAAAGTCCTGCCAGCTCAGTGACTCCCTGACAAAATTGGCAATGGGGTTCATCCACTCGCCTGTGCCTCGCACCTCCCTCAACATCCTGGTGCCATCCCATCAAACTCCCGTGCATGCCTCTCGAACTCAATCAGGAACAACTCAATGTTTCCTCCCTGGAAAACTAGAGGTCCGTCCTCTCTCCTGGTCTTCATCTGCGTCCTCTTTCTGGTCACCCCCAGAGGGGTTTCCATTGGCCCTGCCCCCCCCTTCCCTCTTGGCATGGCTGCCCCAAGTGGTGTCAAGCATGCACAACAAGGAAGAGACAAACAGGAGCCCACAGAGGGTAAGCAGTTTTGGACAAAACACAACAGGAGACAGACATAGCCCTCCCATAACTATCCCAGCTACCTACCTGCCTATCTATATATGCATACATATATACACGAATCTATCCAAAAAAACATAACCTATCACGCTATTCTACTGAGAACAATATCCTATACATTTTACTTATACTAATATTCCTATGTAAAGTACTCAAAGGGTGACTCTAACTTATGAAATCCATGCTCACCTCGTCTCGAGCAACAAACTTCTTTAACCTTGAGTCAAACACCCAATCTTTGCACGCCGTCCCAGTCAGCTCCTCAATTTGGTAGGCTCCATGCTCACCACTTCTTGTGACCCTGTATGGTCCCAGCCACCTCTTATCCAACTTCCTCGACCACTGCTTTTCTAAGGATGAGTCGTACAACAATACAATGTCCCCCACCTTGAGAGGTTCTTTCCTTACTCTTGCCATCTTATCCCACCTGAACTTGTCCTTGGTACGGTTGTCAGCCACCATACTTGCCGCCTCCTCAATTCTGCCCTCTATGGCGTCAATCTGACGTGCCCTTGAATCAATTAGTTCCTCAAATGTCAGATTAGTCTCGAGGTTTTGTCGCCTCCAAGTCTTTAGGAAGCTTTCAATAGGGAACGTCGCATGTCTGACATACCATAGCGTGGCCAATGTGTAGCCGGTGCTTCTTCTGACGGTGATATTATCCACGAAGAAAGCGATCCTTAGGAAGTTCGGCCACTGATTGGGTCTCCCATCAGTCCACTTGGCGAGAAGATTCGTGATGGTACTATGCCCTCTCTCCACAGGTGTATTAGCTTGGGGATGCGTTGCAGTAGTATACTCGGCGATTACCCCAGACCCCTTTAAAAGCGCCTTCACTTCTGCACAGGTGAATTCGGACCCTCTATCCATCACAAACCTGGAAACAAAGGGGTAGCGGAGATAATACTCTTCGATGGATCGGACCAACGTCTCACCAGTCTTTGTGCGAATGGCCCTGCCATGTACAAAACCAGAGAGGTTGTCCCGCGCATCAAAGATAAAATTATAACTCCATATTCCCAGCGGCATTGCCAACAGATCCAGATGTACAACCGCTCCAACCTCACGAACATACCTTGGGTGAAGCGGCTCCCTAGGTCTGAGAGAGAATCATTCCTGGCATGGTACACAAAATTTACAATAATCATTGATCATCTGCCCCATGTCATCCCAATAGTATAGTTCATGTATTTTGAGATAAGTCGTATCTGTACTCCTATGGCCTCCTGCCGTACCGTCATGTAGGGCGGTTATGACGTCAATCTGACGAGTAACGCCACAGATTACCCTCATGGGAGTTCTTTTTTTGCTTCTCATGAATAGATGGTCATCCCTTACCAGAAAATTCAGCCTCATTTTCAGAATTTTCTCACTAGTATCCCTTTCCCTCATCTCGCACGAAAGAAGCATCTCGAGCTTGAGATAAACTCCATCGTATTCTTCTGCCCGAAAGGCTTCTTTAATCTCTCCTTCCTCAAAGCCGTCATCTTCCCTTTCATGGATCACATTATCACCTTCTTCCTGACTTTGTCCCGCACTCTTTGCCAACTCCTCTTGAAGCAGTGTGTTAGCTAAGAGATATATTCCACTTACCAATTTCTCGTGTATTTCCATCTGTTGCGTTCCATTCTCAATCGTGAGCAGGTCCTCATGTAATTGGTACTTGTTTGCTAGGGCCAGATCCATCATCCATTCCACACCTGACATTCCCCAAGAGTCTTCTTCGATATAGGGCTTGAAGACTAGGTCTGGCCGTCGTACATGTCCTGGAGGCGCAAGCCACACAGGTTGTCCAGGAGTAACATAGTTACCAACGGCCAGTGACCAGGAGTTGATGTGAAGTCTCACATCCTCCTCATTATCAAGAAACCCGTCGACTGATGGAGTATCCTCGATCACTCCTTGGTTATTCTTGTCTAAGTCGACTCGGCTCAACCCGTCTGCTTTATTCTTATTCCCAAGGATTCGTTCCAACTCGAAATCGAACATCCAGATGTATGTTAACCACCTGGCGATAGTCGGATCTGAAGGAGCAAAGTTCTTAAGAGAACCAGCTAGAGCAGTTGGGTCCACCCTCAACACAAAACTGCTGCCAAAGAGGTAGTTTATGAAGATCCTTAAGCAATGAAAAACTGTCAAGGTTTCACGCTTAAACTGAGAGTAGTTTCTCTCATTTGTGTTAAACGTTCGACTCTCAAACCTTAGCAGTCGTTCTTCTTCATTAAGGTCTCGTTGGATTAACACACCTCCCAAGGCAGTCGTCCCTGCGTCTGTCTCTACGATAAAGGATCTGGTCATCCCCGTTGTATGGTCTGGTACCCCTAGTACTAGACCCCCTTCCTCAAACTCTTTCTTCACACCTTCTATTACTGTCTCTTGCTTATCTCCCTACTCTTAATCTTGGCCCTGGCGCACCAACTTTCGCAACTGTTCAAACTTCGCCGCAAACCCTTTTATGAAAAACCTCCAAAAGCCACACGTTCCGAGGAAGCTTCTTACCTCCGTGATAGTCTCGAATGGTGTTGGTCATTCGAGAATCTTATTGGTCTTTTTAGGATCTGGCCGACGACCCCTCTTGTCGCACACAAATCCTAAGATAGTGGCCCCGCGCATGCAGTGCCTTGACTTCGATCCGCCGGCGGTGAGGTTATGCTCTTTTAGGAGGTCCAGGACCTTGCACATGTCTTGCACATGATCCCAGACAAAACGCCTAATCCCTGGTATCACCTCTTGCTCACTCTTCTTCTTAGGCTCTTTCACGACCAGATCGTCAATATATGGTTGCGTGATGTGAGGGCTTACTGGTTGCATTGTCCGCACCATGTGTCTTTGGACCATGGCGACCACGTTCCTCCACCCTTGCGGTGCGGCATTCATGTGGATCAACCCTCGAGAGGTGTGCATAGTCGTCAGAGGTCTGTCAGATGGGTACACCGGGAATTGATCGTAGTCCGAATATAGATCTATGAGAGATATTATGACTCTCCCAGCGCAGGCCTCTGAAAGCGCATCAGCGTTAGGGAGACCACATGTATCTCTCACTGTTACAACATTCAAGCGTTGCAAATCATGTACCCATCGCAGAGTCTCATTGGGTTTGATAAAGCAAAATCATGGAGATGCATATGGCCCGCTCGAGTAATCTGAGACATACGTCCGGATCTTCTCATCTAAGTAATTGACCACTTTCTCTTCATCTGTTGGATTAGGATATCACGCACCTCGCAAGTTCCATGGCTCGTGAGGCACGGTGTGCATCCTAATCATTGGGATTTTATCCACGTTCACGCGACGTCGCTCATCACCATTGAAAGCATATGCAATATGTCTTCCCCTTATGGTCTCCACCACCAACTGTCTTTCCTGCGCTGTAAGGAAATCTGACTCTCCAATTATCAGCGTCTCTTCTATTTCTTGATTAATACGACATGGTCCACTTTCTGCTTTCTCACGCATTTGCCGTATCCGTTCCCGCTCCCGCTCATAACAAACGTCTTCTTCTTCAGTCACGAGTACTGGAACTGGGCGACACTTTTGATCTACCCTTTTGTACCGCCTTTGTGAACCCTGCTTGAGCCCACCCCTAAAAAAAGTCGAGTTGCACTTTGCGGTTGGGCTCCAATTGTTCCACCTATCCTTCCTGGTACCCGGTAGACCAATTTCATCTCACCTTCACCTCTCTTTTCCATCACCTTCTCTCTGAAGGCCTCAACTGCCTCAGGATCTGCCATCCCATAGGTAGATACTATTTCCATAGCGTCCCCTATGTTCGTCAAGCTGAGGGACAACGCTTCTGAGGGTTCTTCCCCTTCAAACTCCTCTCCTTCCAATCTCATTCTTGCCTCTTCTGACTCTTCAATAGTGAAAGAGTCAGGATTCGGCCAATTCCTTACATTGCGTGGCCCTGTATTCTGGCAAGTGATCACTTCATAGTAACCACACACAGGGTCGCATAACACCAGGAACATCGTCCCATCATGCTTGTTGAGAATGAGGGTTTCTGTCCTACTTAAAAATGACCGGCCCAGTAGGATAGGATGGTCGAGATTAGGTATTATAAAAAAGCAAGTCCTCACTTTTACCTTGCCGATCTCAATGACCACGTTTGACGCGGCCCCTATAAATACAGACCTGTTGTTCGCCCCCATAAGAACTCCATTGTCGGAGCGATCAATATCCATCCCTAGGCGAATGGCGTGTTCCTCCTTTATGAGGTTCATCTTTGTGCCCGTATCTACCATTGCGGTGCACGGTTTCCCTTTTACTACTACCTCCACACACCCGTATGCTACGGACTTTTAGTCCACTTTGGTGCCTGTCTCTGCCCACTCCCCTTCTTTGGGGATTATGGCCCCTAGGCGCACGCTTGTCACTAACCTTCTGGGCAGACGAGCCTTCAGCTCGTCCCGCAATTTCGGAGCAGAGGCGAGGATGTCTTTAAGATTCAGCAGGTCATTATGGCCCTCAAGGAGCCTGTCTACCATGCCCTCCACGTCGAAACCTTCCTCCATCCGGACCGTATACTTCTTCTTCTTTCCTTTCTGGTCCTTGTCAGCGCCGGTCCTTGCGCCTCTCTTTTTTGCCCTTTCGTCGGCTTTCTTATCTTCCTCTTCCCTCAACTTCTCGTCCTCATCCTCCTCGTCTCCCGGAACTTCCACCATCTTCTTCTCGCCACTAGGCCCCGGGTTATCCTGAGGAGGTTGGCTAGAACTGGGCGGCCCTTTCGACCTTGTGCGTGCCGCCAAAGCTGCCATTCCGGCCCTTGATGATGGCCTAAAGGCCATTCCAGATCTGGGCGTGGAGGCTGTAACCATTGCTCCAGACAAGTTTTCAGTCCCACTAGGTGCCCCAGGACCTGAATCAAAAAGGTAAACTGACGGCAGTTATCCCCTCTACCTGTTGACTTCCTCGCACAGGGTGGTCAACTTAGTCTGATATCTCCCGATTTTTGCCAATAGGTCCTCCATTTTTTCCATCGTGTCTCTCGCCTCTACCCGACCTCCTTCTTCTTCGTCGTCAGATTCAATCACTATAGGTTCCTCTTTTACAATGTCGGCTTTCAATCCTGCTCAACCTCTTCACTCTCTCCTACCTCTTCCACCCTCACATCTTGGTGGACTTCTTTCTCCTGCCACATGCGGAATGCGGTCGGAGGAGTTGGTGGAGGCGGGGTATTTGCTCTTCGCAAGGCCTCTTCTCTCGTCCCTCCTGGGGTCCTTGGGTCGATGTACTTCCCATACATATCGTAAATATCCCCATCATAGTTAGTAGTTATCAACCCATCTTTCTCGTCACTCCTCCGTACCTGACAAAACTTAATCGTGTGGCCCTTCTGGTCACAATGCCAACAGATGGCATTCCTCGAATTTATTCTACCCCTGCCATACCCTCGACCGCCTTGTTGGCCGCCTTGATTCCCCCCGTCATTCCAACCTTTATTTCCTCCTTTATTGGAGTTGCTGCCTGAATTCCCTCTTCCATTTCCGCCACGGCCACCGTTCCCTCTGCCTCGTCCACATCCTTGATTTTGGCCTTGGCCTCGACCACCGCCTTGATTGCCCTGCGACCCTTGCGGAGCAGACTGTTGCGATTGACTTGGTGGCGGATTGGACTGACTTGCCTGCTGGGCTTGGGGCCCTTAGTACCCACACGAGGCCAGACTCATTGGCGGTCCACCATAAGAACCAAATTGCCCACTGACAGGTCATGGAGCGTAGGGGTTATAGCCTGGCCAAGGGCCCGGAGGTCCGAAGCTCGGTCATTGTCCATAGGACGGCTGCCCAGCTGGAACGGGCACCATTGCACCTATCTGTCTGTGTGACGCAGGCGGGGGCATTGCAACTACTTGGAAGCACTGACCCATCCCTGAACCTTGCCCTCCCTGGGTCTGGTTCCTGGCCTTTCTCTGAGCCTTTGTCAAATTTTGAGGCTCAGGCTCTTCCTCTTCCTTTTTTTTTTCCTCTTCTAGATCTTCTCTCGTAGTCGTCTTCTTTCCTTTGCCATGAACGTGGGTTACTGTCAATACCTTCTTTGGGGCACTTGCTTCTCTCGAGGCCTCTAGCTGGGCCACCACCTCCTCTACCACCTTTTTCAAATCCTGGCCACCAATAGTTGCGCCGTCTATTGCTTTCCTTTTCCTCCTCGCTTATTTCATTTGGAAGAGGTCAAATTGGTCAAATTCCCCATCCATTTCGCCCTCCTTTATAGTGGCCCAAGTCAGTTTCTTCCCCGGGGCGTCTTTTCTTGTCAGTGTCGAGGCTTCAAAGTTGGTGAAGTGCCCCAAAAATGTGGCACATTGCTCTTCCTCCACCATCCCCGGGACCTTTCTCGCCATTTTCTCAAAAGCCGTAGCAAATGCGCCCGCCGTATTGAACTCGTTTCGGCTCAACATCTCTAAGTCCGTTTTTGTCAACAGGCCATCTCCCAACTTGAAGCGCCTCTGCATCTCCTCTTTAAATTTTGACCAATCTCCATTTGCACCGACTGCTACTTTTACGACCTCTGGCCTGAGCTCCCACCGGACATACCTCGACATTAGTTTGAATTTATCAGGTTTTGAAGCCTCGCCCGTAACCTGTTCTAATAACTTCAACCATTCTGACACCCCATCCCCATCGAATAGGAAGATATCGACTTTGGGCACCTGTAATCGTGCCAGTTCTCTTTTCTCCAACGTCTTGATGAAATTTTCTGGCGTTGCGGCCGGGCTTCGCACAATCCCGTCGGCATCGGTCATCTCTTACCCTCCTTTTCAAAACCTATTGAGAAACGAAAAGGTTTCAACAAACGGTTTCCTGCCAACTTCCTACTTTCTCCATTTTACTGCTCAACTAAATATACTTCATTTTTTAGACTAGTTACGCATATTAGCAGTCTATCAGACCCCTATATCATAAACCTATGCCTTTTACTTAACTCGCGGCATAGACGTACCTTAGGTTATGATCATTGTCATCAAACCCAGATCATACATGCCATCGCCACACTCATCACTTTTTATCACCTTCAGGCTTCAGAAAATTATCAGAAAAACAATCACATCAACTAAGTTAAAAATTTGTCGTTTTGCCTAGGTCATCAGCCTGCACTTAACCTGGGTTCGTTTTCTTAAGGACCCCGGTAGGCAGCCGAGATCCCCGGCAATGGGGCCACCTGTCGTGCGCATCGGTCCCAGACGGGAACCCTCCCGGTCGCGTCACGCAGGATTTTTCAGGACTTGTCGCGGAGAGCGATTGCCGCTCCGGCCGAGTGCGCCAGTCGTACCTCTCGCGAGCCCCTTCCACAGGACAGGGTCACGCCAGACACCGCTTATCTCCACCTGCGGGAGCTGTCACCATCCCTTAGGTGGATGTATCCCCGCCGAGCTACTGAACCACATGCGAAGGTTTTTCGTATGCAATCGCAGAGGTGGCCCAGCCGAGGGCGTTTCTCGTTCGTTGTAGCATTGGGGGACTGAGGTCCCAAGCGCGACTCGACGCCAGTCGACTAGGATGCATCACACACACCACACATTACACCGCAACACTCACACACATAAAAACAAAACAATACAACAATAAAACAATACAACAATACAACAATACAACAATACTCTTAGTCCCTTCAGTATCCGACCCATAACTTTCGGAAGCGAGAGTCAGATAGGCATCGCGCGTAAGACTTTAGTATAAAATTGCGCGGACGTAAGGTCTTCTCATATTAACTAGCCATGCGAGCATACGCAAGCAATCATAATGATGGAGTACTACGTGGTACCCATAGTCGGGCGATCCTCAATAATCTTGAGGGCCATGTTCGACACTCAAGTGTCGATTGATAAGCGCTTTGAGGGGTTAATCTCTCGACGGTAGACAACCGCCAAGTGCAGTTGAATACCACACCCTCTTTGCACCCTGTGGAGAGGGGTTGAGTAGACAGCTTCAGGGTTGTCGTGGCGGTCAGAGATCACGGGGTTTAACTTTGACAGCTGTCACGGACTACAACGTCCAACTATGAAAACTCAAAAGGAAGCGAACGCAGATAGAAAAAGAGGCTCACCCCCTTTTTTCCTCTTTGTCTAGCTCATATTCCTACTTGTATAGCATGATAGGCCTATCAAATGGAAGGGGCAGGTCAGTACGAAAGGTGCGCGCGGTTAATGCCCAAATCAGACCCATGTGCAAACCGACGTTCGAAACGTTGGAAGTTCGTATGTGGATTCTCATTGGCCGACTAGGACTAGTACTCCGTTCGCACGTCGCTTCGCACTACCGAAATTCAGGTCTACTTACCGCAACATGCTTTTGTCATTTTCGCTTGACCCATAACTTTCCAATGCAGAAGTCGGTAAGTGTTGCGCGCAAGGCTTAGTATAAAATCGTGCGGACGCAGGACGTACACATACCGACCAACAATGCAGTCTTACCTAAGCATTCGTGATGACGACGCATTATGTGGTGTCCATAACCAAGTGGCCTCATCTGAGCCATGGGGTCGCTCTCGACGCTCAGGCGTCGGTTGAAGTGCGCGCTAAATGGGGCAATCCTCTAGCGAGCGCAAAACCGGCCTGAGGGCCTTACCATCTTCTGCACCCTGAGGTGTCCCAAAGGGTGCGGGGTAAGATGGTCCCTAGGGCAGGAAGGAATTCGGAGCGGTGGTGAGTTGTCTGGCACATCACCAGCGACACGCTAAACCTTCCGCCCGAAACTTTATCGTTCCATCAAAATAAATTAAAACAAGGAAAAGAAAAGAAACATTGACGTTGGCAGACAAAAACAAGAATAAGTCACCGGACCTCAGCGAAAGTTTAAGCGTAGCTTATAGGCCCAATCCGCCCCAAAAGGGTGCGAGTGCTCGTTTGGTAGGACACACCGCCCTAAAGAAAGAAGAGGGACATGTAATGTCCTGGACAAGGGCCTCGAATTTCCAGGCTCAAGACTAACGTCCGACCAGTTAGACCAACGAGTAAAAGAAAGTGTAAGCGTGCGGTCGCATAGCCCCATGAGGGTTATCCGAGCATATGCCTACTTTACTAGTCACAATACCAAGACGAGGAAAAAGACAATCACAATCAAAACAAAGAGTTGCGTGGTAGTTCACTCTCTCGACAGTTATGTGGTTTGCCCATCTGGAACCAAAATCAATCATCCATCAAAACTCAATCGACATTTTTCTCCACACATACCTGCGATCACACACAAGAATCAAACGACATCACACACACTAAAGGGGTCAATTTTTCAGCCTTCTGCGACTTACACCCTGCCTCATGTGCACAAGCCGAACCTTTTCCCCACCATTCCTCAACAAAAATACTCAGTGTTTAAGAAATGGTCATTTATAAAGAACCTCGGTGAAACCCAAGAAAACATAAGACCCAGCAAGGGTCAAAGCCTTAGGTTGAGAGGTAGAAGAAACAGGGAAGTTGAGTCGTAAATCGACGAATCAGCAACCGACTTGCTATCAATGATTACAGAAAGTGGTTCTTTTGAAGGATCAGGCTTAACAGATCATGCCTTCAATCGAAATACTGAAACTTTCATCACAGTACAGGCCAAAAAGAACCATTACTATGTTCATGCCGAAAGGAGAATGCTTCCCAAGTCGCAACCTGGCTCCTCTACTAATCTCACTGAAGATCTCTCTTAATCAGGGTGGGTTTGTCAAGTAACTCCTAGCTAAAAATATTCTAACTCCTCAAATTCTATGAAATTCTAGCAGCACTTCCCGTAAGAAAAGTTTTTTTTCATGATTTCTACAAGCCAAAAAACGACCAACTTTTTCGGATTTGTAGAAATTTCGGCAGTGCTTCCCGTAGGAACAGGAGGCTGCCAAGATTTATACGACGCATAAAACAGAAAGAGAAAGCAAAGCTATACTTGGGACTAACTTCTGACAATTGCTTGATAGTTAGGATTGAAGATAGTTTACACGATCGCCATTTAGAAGATGGTATCGTGAGCTATCGTCAACTCTGACTTCAAGTAAGGACAACCCTATCTTTATCCCAAGCTCTCTCTCTCATCATTCATCTTATCTACCTATGGCTCCAGCACTTGGCGAGCATCGAAGCAGCTAACCTATCGAAAAGACGTCCCAAAGTGAGAGCCCACAAACATGCCTAAACAAACATCTCTCACAATCTCACATCAGGTTGACCCAAGTAGTTCGTTAAATAACTCAGTTCATCTCCCTTTGTATGTCTCCCTTGCTTATGGCATACGATCAGACAATGCCTTGACTTAAGGGTATGTCCAACCTGCCTAAATAAACAAGTAAGAGTACGCACAACTGGATTTCCCTAACTTAAGGGTATGTCCAACACAGCATCGACTCTAGTCATAAAACATATGACCAGACCATCCTAACTTAAGGGTACACCTCACTTCTGCTTAACTGACGACATAAAGTATAAAACTAGACTGCCCTACCTTAAGGGAATGCCTAGTCAGCTCCAAACAAAGTTAGGTAGGGCATAAGATTAGGCTGCCCCAACTTACGAGTGTGCCTAACCTGCCTAAAACAAGTACGAACGACAAAAAGTCAGACCGCCCTAACTTAAGGGTATGTCCAACCTACATAACATCAACGACAAAAGCATATCGTTAGGCCCCCCCAACTTAGGGGTACACCTAGCTAGCCTAAACAGTTTTAGGTACATAAGACAATATGACCAGAACGCCCTAACTTAAGGGTACGCCTGATCTGCCTTAACAATCGCAAACGACATATGGCTAAGCCGCCCTAACTTAAGGGTACGCTTAGTCTCTGTAACGACAATAGAAGAGAACAACCATTGATATATTTGTACAAACTTTATATTTCTCTCTCTTGTTAGGCAGATGATCAGACCTATCCAACTTAGGGAGACATTCAATTCTGCCTTGTGTTTAAAAGGAAAAATAAAGGAAAATTTATACTAACTCTCTGCACCTTTGTATTATCACGACCATATGACTGATTAAGGGTACGCTCAACCTGCCCAAGCTACCTTCATTATATTTTTCGCATGCTTTGCCTCTCTTTTTGTTCTACCTGACTTACTGACTGGCTTTCCCAACTTAGGGTGCCCGGTCTGTCAGCTCATATACATTCATATAATATATGTATCAAATTTTATACTTTTGTTGACTATTAAGTTCACAATTCATGACTAAGCCGCCCCAACTTAGGGGTACGCTTAGTCTTATGCCTTTGTTCCCCTCAGAAGATATTACACACAGAACTGGGTCTGCGCAACTTTAGAATACCCTCAGCCCTGCTTTCAGCAACCCAAAAAGAAACATCATTACTCTGAGCCTTCCCAACTTAGGGTGTCCGTCCTCCTGTTCAGAAACCTAAAAAAAAAAAACAGCGAATGGTCCGTCCAACTTAGGAAAGACCCATTCCTAAAAAGGGCATACATTCAACTCAGCAAACATAAATAAAACACAGCACTGAACTCACTCAACTTAGAGGGGTCCAGCCTTGGGTTGGCCCGGTCAAACACATACAAAAAACACCTTTCTTCCGCCTTTCCTCAGTTTAACTTTGTCTAAATTTACTCAAAATATCTTATATATACTTGTTTACTTAGCCTTTCACAAACATGTCCTGACATACATAACAAAAGAACAAAAAGTAATAACCTTCCATAGTCATATTCAGATACCCAAGGGAATAATGTAGTTAGGAGAAAGGATCACACGCGTTAGACGAAACTTTATACCTGAAGTTCCCTGCCTCCAGAACCCCGCCTAGGTTCCGTCAGAGCTCCCACAATCGGTGGGTGGACCTCCCACAAGGTCTTGCTGCGGTCCTACGGGTTGCAATCCCGCCTGCCGCCTTCCTCTCGTAACCTTAGACTAGACTTAGAGTAAAAAGGATAGGAGTAGAGATGTTTAGACTCTCAGATACAAGGGGGGTGCGCTCAAACTCA